TAGAATATTAAAAAAAATCAGTAAAAATAAAAATATATATATGTGGAAAATAAAATATTTTAATTTTCTGAAAAGTGAATCTTGAAAATCTAAACCAAACAAACTAAATAATTTTCCCTTTTGGTGGGGGCACTTTGTGAAACCCTCAACATATGTTTGGTTTTTTGAAATCATGATTTTAATTATAAAAAATTTAAATATTTTTCAAAATTTATAATCAAACACTCCATTAAAAACTGTTTTGAAAATTCAAAATTTAATATTCTTTTCCAAATTTTATTTTTAAAATAAAAAAATATTGAAAAAATATTTTTTCCAGAAAATATTTTTTATTTTTGAAGAAAAATATTTTTTATTTTTTTGAAAAAATATTTTGTTATTTTTTTAACTATTAGTCAAATAATTTATTATGAGTTAGATAAATGTGAGTGATATAATTTTTTTTAAAATTTTTAAAAAAACATTAAATATGTAAAAAATAAATATTCAAAAAATATTTAAAATAAAATTATATATTTAAAATATTGTAAAAAATATAGCACATAAATGTAGTAAATACAACACACATTAAAAAAATAAATAAATATTTAAAATAAAAAATATTTACAATGAAAAATAAAATTAAGAAAAAATTTAAATATTTAAAAAAATAAACCCAAAAAATTCAAAATGCAACTCAAAACTCAAAATTCTTTTAAAAATTCATAATTAAACAAATTTTTTTTTTTAAAAATTTATTTCAAAAACTCAAAAATTAAAATACAATTTAAAACTCAAATCATGATTTCAAAACTAAACAAATAGACTTGTTTGGTTGCTTCATTAAACAAGCACTTGAAGGGCGGTAAAGTGGTTTAACTTATTAGAATTACATGTATATTTTTTTAACGAAATAACTTGTTTTAGTTGCGGATTCAATTTATCAAAGATGTTAAGATATTTTATCAGTCATAATTAATGAAATATCTTCAAGTATGATTTTAATTCTTGGTCATATTTTGGTTATAACTATAGGAAGATTCTTGGTCATAATTATAAAAAGACCTTGACTCATTTTGCGTATGTAGCAAAATCTGAGATGTTAAATCCATAACTGTTTGGTCTAGATGAAATGTCTTGACTTATTATTTAGTTCTTAGTCAGATTCTCTTGTTAGTTATAATTATAAAAAGGCATTGAATTCACAATTATAAAAAGGCATTGAATTCATCCAGTTAAATCCACAATGGGAGATAAATAATCTCCTTTTTTAATGGGTTAGGCTAACAAGTGTCATGGTGCAATTGTTAATGACTAATTAAATAATATTTTATTTTTTTGTATGAAAATGTAAAGTATTGTAAATTACAAAGTATTGTTGTATTTAAATTCAAAAATTGTTGAAACATGCAAGAATAAATATATTTAATTTAATGAGTTATTAAAATTAAAAAATTGTCAGTTTAATGGGTAACTAAATTAAAAACTTACTAAAATCAAGATAAGTTAATATATATTATTAAATTCACTTTAATTACTAGTGTTCCATGGACATTGTTAGCATTAGTCCTTTGTTTTTAAAATGATCGAACAATTTACTTTTGCTTGATTGCAAGAGTAATTTGGAAAATTAACATCAACCGATCAAGTGGAGTATTTCCAGTTTACATGTTCCTTTTATTTATTTATTTTTACAGTAAGATTTAGAAAATTAAAAGAGTTAGATAATCACAGTAAATTAATGGTATTACATTAATTTAAACTTCAAACTTCGCTTCACTTCACTTCACTATCTCTTAAATGGGAATGGCTTCTGTCCAGTCCTTAATTGGACTGGACCGTGCTGTTGGGCCCGTGAAGGCCCACCACGGGTCCCGTTTTGATAATTTGAATCGTTCAATGTGTAGAATTCATCGAGTAATGTATGTTTGTAAAAAATTACGTTAATCAGATATCGATAGCTATGTGATCAAAATAGATTTTTGTTAACCGTTGATTTATTCACTGTCTATTTTTTTTTTAATACAAAACTGATTTGATCACATAACTATCGATATCCGATTAACGTAATTTTTTACAGACATATTGTACTCGACAAGTTATACACATTCAACGGTTCAGATTATCAAAACAGGACCCGTGATAAACCCCCATGAGCTTAACAATACGGTCCAATCTGATTAAAGACTGAACAGAAGCTATGCCCCTCTTAAATACCCTTTTATGACCACTTGAATTACAATACTGTTTATGAGCAAGTTCTCATGAGACAGATTGTAGAGTGAGCGTGTTGATACGAGAACATATCTATAACATATATAAAAAGTGCGTAAGAGTGGTGTAACGCTTTGGTGTAACATGCTGCTTGTTTGGTTTGTGATGCCTCTTTCCTTATAGATTGTGGCTGGACACATGAGTTTCACATTAAGAGTTGTTTGGAGTGTCTTAAATAAGTATATTTTTTGTTTTTTTAGATTAAAAAATTGAGAAAAAAAATATAAATATTTGGATTAATTTTTTGACTTTTTATGAAAAAATGTGTATTAAAAAATTATATAAATTAGTGTGTAAAGAAAAATTAAGATAGGGAGTTGTGTAACCGTACTTTTTGACTTTTGATAAATAATGATAACTTTTTAACTCTTTAAATAATTTTTTGACTTTTCTTCAACTTGCCAAACTTGACCTTAGCTCCTTCCGGCAGCGGTTTATTTCTCTTGCAAAGCTTTTGGATTGGACACGTGGGCTTCAAATCATCCACATACACAATCTATACTATATATTAAGCAAAATGAGGTTTTTAACTCAAAGCCTTGTGGGAGCTTCAATCTCCCAATCTAAATTTCTTGATTTTTTGATTTAAATTTTTTTTTTTTAGCATTTATTAACTTCTCCCAACCTCTAAGTTTTACCCTCATAATAACACTTTAATGCATTAAGAACAACATAAAAAAAAAAAATTCTTTGAAACCCAACACATGAATTCCTTGAAAAGTCTCAACTCATATGATTATTATCTCTCATAATAACACTTCAATGAATTAAGAACAAACATAAAAAAAATTTCTTGAAAAGTCCAATATATATGATTATTTTCAAAATATTAAATTTTAATATAATATAATAAATAAAAAAAGACATTTAATTCTTTGAAAAGTCTAACACATATGATTATTATCAAAATATTAAACTTTAATATAATAAAAAAAGGAAAAAAAGAAGGCATTTAAAAAAAAAAAATTTAAAAATTACAATTCACATATATAGATAATTGTACACACAATCCGTGCATAGTACGGGTGATATGCTAATATTATATAAAGAAAAGACTTGTGAGACTTGTGAGAATTCCAAACTCTCATTCCACAATTGTTAATTTTTGTAATTTTAAAATCATTTAAAAATAATTCTATTGGCTAACAAAGTAATTATAGATTTAAAAAACAAAAACAAAAAATCACCTAAAATTTTGAGTTACAAGTTCCTAAAATCTCTCTTCTTAATATTTCTCTCTTTCCTAAATCCCATATCATAATTAAATAACTATACATTAAAAAAAAGAAAAAAACACAAATCTCATCTCATAACAAAGTAATTATCTATTTAAAAAAAAACATTATAAATTAAAAAAACGTAAAACCACAATTGCTAATTTTTGTAATTTTAAAAATATTTAAAAATAATACTATTGGCTAACAAAATAATAACTATAGATTAAAAAAAACTAAAATTGTTAAATTTTTGTAATTTTAAAAATATTTAAAAATAATACTATTGGCTAACAAAGTAACTATAGATTTTTTTAAAAAAAAAATTGAATTACAAGTTTCTAGAATCTCTCCCCTAATATTTATTTCTTTCCTAAATCTCATAATCTATCTATGCTCTATATTATGAGTTATGCTAGGGACCCCAAACAAATTATCAATTTTTTTTATCAAATCTCTCACATGGGTGTGGGACCCACACACATTTAATTTGTGTGAATCCCACACCCATGTGAGAGGTTTGGTAGAAAATTTGATAATTTGTTTGGGGTCCATAGCATTTTCCATATATTATATCAAAGTGACTTTTCATCTTTGAGGCCCTAAGTGTTTTAAAACCTTAAATCTAATTTTTTAAAAAGAATATAAATCTCATACAATCATTTCTCTCCTAAAATAAATCTAATGAAAAAAAAACTCTCTCACCTCCCATAAAATGTATACTATTAAAATATTTTACAACTGGTCTAATCTATATAAACCTAAAATTAAACCTACCATAAAATAAAAATTTAACCTTATATTTAGATTCTCTCTCTATTCCACAATTAAATACAATTTTATTCCCAAATAAATTTAAGCATATCTATATTTAATTTTTTAGAAAAATCTCATAATTTATTATTTTTTATAATGATTCTATGATTTATAATTTAGAAAAGAAAAGATGAAAAAAAATTATTCTTATGCACTCTTTCTCTAACTAATTCTTTCTTCTATTCAAAAATCTTAGTCATCATACATTATACTTTTTCCAAGCCATTTATGTCTTGCTCGCCCTATAAATATTATATTATTGGAACAATGAAACTCATTGTTTTTTAACTTTATTTTTATGAGACAAATTGGAGGTTAGTTTATGTTTAATCTATTATATTCTTTAAACAGACTCTTTTATCTTTTAGGTACACTATTTTTTCTTCTTCTTTTTTATCTATGACCATTTTTTTGTTTTTATATTTCATATTTTGTGTGTCATTTCTCCCTCCTCTCTCCCAATCATTATCTATTTTTTGTTTATAACTATTTTTTGTTAGTTACTATTGTTTTCCTAAAATTTTTATACTAAAATGACGTGATAGGGTCATTTGTATAATAAAAAAACATGTCACTCACTATAAAGTGATAGATAAAAATCCAAACAAAATATTTATTAATAAGTTTTTTGTATTGATTTTATGTTTGTATATCATTACATTTTAAAAAAAAAAAAAATTATTTTTAATATTATTTTGATATCATGACATGAATTTCTAACTCCTTCAAGCTGCTGTTTGTTTCTCTTCCAAAGCTTTTGGATTGGACACGTGGGCTTCAAATCATCCACATACACAATATAAGAAGAAAACAAATACCACCGTTCCTCCTAGAAATTTCCCCCACCGGTGCTCCTGGCTATTTCCCAAAGCTTCTCCCTGCCAAATTTTCTTGCATATATTGGGTTACCCACGTGGGATTCAAATCACCGACGCCGACAATGAAGATGAAAACAAATTTCACCACTTCGAAGAGCAAATCTCACCGCCCCACAGGTCTAACTCGCACTCATGATGCTGGCTGGATTTTGGTTTTCATGCCGTGTGTTTCTGCATCAAACATTGAATTTCTCACGATATATATATATATATATATCTTTCGGATAGAATTGCTATTACACTATTCTTCACATCATTGTCGGCATTGTTGTCGAAGTTGGTCATCCAAAGCTCTGCTTCCACCGTTGCAAATCCTGGTAATTACATCTGTATTTTGATGCCTATTATTTATATGTCTGTTGCACAATATTTACCCACACTGTTTTCATTCCTAGGTATATGTTAAATAGATGCACACCAAGTGTTTGTCAATATGTCTCAATGAACAAAAGTTTACCCGCCTGATTTGGGTAATTGGATCTTGATAGTCTTTGTTAAATTGTCATGGATTGCTTTGATCCTTTTTCTATATTATTTGTTTCTGAAATGATTATCCTACGGAATTTACTATTACATATTAAATAAAAGATAGAGATTTTGATCATTTGTTTCCTCAGTGGACTGATAAATTATGAGTTCGTTTATGGATCCATATTCACTGGATCTTGATAGTCTTTGTTAAATTGTCATGGATTGCTTTGATCCTTTTTCTATATTATTTGTTTCTGAAATGATTATCCTACGGAATTTACTATTACATATTAAATAAAAGATAGAGATTTTGATCATTTGTTTCCTCAGTGGACTGATAAATGAGTTCGTTTATGGATCCATATTCACTGAAGTCTGTTTCAAATTTACTTGCTTCAGATTTACCTGCTGCTGTCCATTTAATTTTGGGTTTCAGGTAATTTGAAGTTCGTATTGGAATTTGATGGTTGACCATTTTCTACGGAAAAGTTATACTTGAAATAATCAAATATTTCATGCATGTGAAGTTTTGATCCATATCCTCAAGTGTATTCTGAAATGTTTTTTACTTACCATAAAGAAAGAGATGTTTTTGTGTATATAGTTTTTGTCTACAACTAGAAATTACAACATTGCCTAGGCAATTAGAAATTAAAATTAATGAAGTATTTCTTTCAAACAAGTCAATAGTTGTTTGGATATTTAAAGCGACGGACAATGATACACATACATATACTGCATATAGTTATTGTTATTTATTTCATATCTTGTAATAAAAATATACTATGTTTATCTATTGCTCTATACATAATCTTAGATATATATTTCAATTATCTATATCAACAATGTCGCGACTCCCACACTTTTTATTTTCTTTTTCTTATGACCTAGGTTTGAGGTTTTACATGCCAAATCAGGAATTAGTAACTGGCTTTTGGGTGAAAAGTGTTTTAGAAATAGGTGAAAATGTTGAAAAGAGTTGAAATTTGTATGAAGTGTTATGATATGAAATTGGTGAAAAGTGAAAACTGTCTTGTGGTCTTTTCTTTTTATTTATCTTTTTCTTATGACCTAAGTTCGGTTTTTTACATGCCAAATCAGGAATTAGTAACTGGGTTTTGGGTGAAAATTATTTTAGAAATAGTTGAAAAGAGTTGCAATTGATGAATACTGAAAAGTGTCTTGTGGTCTTTTTCTTTATTTTTCTATTCTTTTGCCCTAAGTTTAAGTTTTTACATGACAACTATGGAATTAGTAACTGGGTTCAATTTCCACACTTGCAATTTGTTTGGCATAGAGAGGGGAACAAGGTGATAGTTTTTTTTATCTCCTTACTTCTCACACTTTGGACTACAATTTTGCATTTGGATTTTATGAGTTTGAAATAAAGGATTTTGCACTAATCATTTAATAAGAGCAGTTTAAATTTAGATTTGATAGTTTAGATATGTATTTCGAATTTATTTTGAGAGTTTTACCCAAACTATTTAAAATCCTTCAAACTAAGGAAAATATACTTTTTCTATCTGTTCTATTTTACGATTCTTAAATCTTCAGGATTTGGAGGATACATAATAATGTCGGAGATGTGAATCAATGCTAAATTTTACTATCGGCTTTAAAGATTGCAGTAGCTGCTGCTAGGTGGTTTTGTCTTTTTTGAATTCCATGTAATTTAGGTTGCTTCTACGCAGGATGCTAAAGGGAACGATGTGGATCTAGCATCTACAAAGGGAAGATCCTGTTGATTGTGAACGTTGCATCACAATGGTATAACATAACTCCTCACTGGCTTTTGTACTTCCTTTTTTTTGGGGACTGGTGTTAAGCATTGGCTTGATAATTCCCAGTTCATTTTGACCTTGTTAAGCTTTAATCTCCTTGACTGCTTCGTTCTAAAATGAGGCTTTGAATTGAACAGTGTTGTTTGTCTTCCATAGCAGCCGTTAGTGGCACCAATTATGGTTGTTTTACTATGACGAAAATTATTAATGAAAAAGAATCAATTAATAGAACTTGTTAGTGTCCTTAAACCAAAGGAAAGAAAGAGAAAGAATGAACACTTTCATGTAAAAAGGAAAAAAAAAATGTTTGTTGTCTAATGTTCAACTTTTATCTGGTGCAGTCACTTGACCAATTCAAATTACAATGAGTTGAGCCAGTTGTATGAGAAGTACAAAGATCAAGGTTTGCTTTGACTTGTTTTGAGTTATACAGCACATTTATTTTTATAAACATGCTAACATAGAAATTGTTAGTGGCTTGATCAATTCAAATTACAGAGTTATAACTTGTACTTGTATCAGCCATGGTATTGGGCGTATTGCCTCTTTTTAGTGATAACGCAGCATCAGTAAAGTTCCTCAACAAATTTTGTTTAAGTTGTGTTTCTTCTGTTGTGAATTAGGTGTGATATTGTTTGCCGTGAAAAGTCAATTACAGATGGTAAACAATTGAAATGGTATGCATTGCTACTTATGGATAATCTTAAAAGGCATAAAATTGGGGTTTAGAAGTGGATTCTTTCCTAATACTTTGGTTTTTTTAATGTATGGAAGAAATGAAATTTGTCAAGAATGGACTGCATTAGGCATTCTCTTGATGCTTGATTTGTTCTTCAATGTATGTGTAGCAATTCATATAATATTGTATTTTCGCCAAGAAATAATTTATTGTTGCATTTGTTGGATTAGTTATGACATGAGGGGAACATAGCCATGATATACACTCACGCTTAATGCTGAGGAAAATAATAATTGCCTCTTTTCTTTTCGATTACCTAATAAATCATAATGGAATACAACACACTATCAACCAACATAGCAGGATAAAGTGTGGGGCCAATTATATTTTTTCAAACCTTGAAATATATTAGGAAAAACTTACGGGATTGTTTTGAACCGCCAAATGTAATATTTTGGAACGAAAGTGTACCATATTTCGGAACGTGTGTTCCAAAAAGGTAATTTGCTAGGTAATACTTCCTCCACTTCTTATCTTTTGTAAACAAATCTCTGCTGTACATATCTACTATAATGTATAATGCTATCAAATTTTTTGGGGGTTAAATTTATGTTATAAAATGTATACTGTATGCATATTATTATCAAACCATCAACATTAATATGTTTATATGTAATGTTTAGATAAGATCGCATTGAATACTTATTATCACTTGCCATGTTATTCAAAGAAATTACATAGATGAATTATCGACAAGAATTGTTTTTTAATTGCAAATGTAAAGATATACTTATATTTGATATGACACATACCTATGTTCATATTTCTATTAATTGGAGAAAAAATTCGCAAATAGAAAAATTTAGACACAAAATATAATTACAATCTACTTCTCAAATTCATAAACCAATCACAATTTGTAAAAATATTTATATTGAAACTGTAACACGCGCGTGCGGGCCACCTAGTACTTTGTAAAAAAGAATAGTAAGTTGTTTATTAATAAATGTTATTAACATATAAATTAATAAAAAAATCAATGTTTTATTTATTGATGTGACATCTATCACTTTATTGAAGTGGATTCTTTTATATATATTTTTGTTTGTTTATCACACATTAATTAATAAGAAAATTTTATAACATTTATTAATATGGATAACTTATCTTTTTAATTTCTTTTGTCTCAAATAGGGAAAAAATATATATTTTTATGGAGAGAACATCAATAAATTCTAAGTTTAGATAGTTTGAACCATTGAGTCCTGCAATTTATTTTATAGACTGATTGGTCCCATGTCAATGTTAATTACTCTTGAGCCCACGATTGTAATGCATGGGCTGATTGTTTGGAGGGATATATTGGGAGTTTAGGTGATATTGTAGTTACCAAAAAGCCCAAAAGTATACTATAACATTTTTTTTCCCTTTCCCTCCATTATGAACAAATGGAAGCTCAAAAATGGGTACGTCAACATTTCCTTGACGATATTGCAGTGTTGGTCTTCAGTTTGTGTGAGTTGAACGCTGGATTTGAGAATGTTACACCCCAAATTCATTATTCCTCAAATAACATTACAAAACCCCCAAAAAATCCTAGAAAATCATGGAAACCCCTTCTATCAAATTTGCAGAGGCGAAGCGGCGTGGGCACTGGGATATCTTGGAGTGCGATTAATATTGAGGATGTAACGTCGGCGATTTAAAATTAATCCATCGATGTATGTTAGTGCGATGACAAGTATGGGTGTCTTCGATATTAGTTTGGTTGTTGTGAAACAATAAGACATCAAGGTCGATGCTCAAAATGGGTTTTTGTTTACTTGATAGGTCATGTGGGATTTTAGGTGATCTTGTTCACATCGCAGGTTTGGGGTTTACCATTGATTACAAATGTGATGTTGTGTATGTTTGTAATGTGACAGACACATGGTTTTGTTGGTTAATGTTGTAATATCTTCAAGGGTTTGCGGGTTATCAGTGATTGAAAATGTGATGTTATGCATGTATGTAATGTAACAGACGTATGGTGTTATAGCTAATGTTTGTATGATGAGTGTGTATTTTGTAATGTTGGGAGCTAGTGAGAGTATGTATGCCTTAAAGTGTTGGTGAGGTTTAGTGGTAGTAGGGGGTAGTGACCGTTAATTGTCGGGGATTATCGGATTGTGTCAATGTTATGTGGTTGGTGTTTGGTGCTAATGGTATAGATTGTTAGTGGGACACTTAATGGTGCGGCAATGTGGCTCTGGGCTAATGTTATGTAATGGTGCGGCAATGTGGCTCTGGGCTAAATGTTACAACCCATACACCTCCTTAGAAAAACGCAAATGATCTAACATCAATAATGTAACACCAAGTAGGTAACATCAATAATCCCCACAATCACTCCACGAAATCCCTAAAAAAAATGGAAATATTAAATCATACTTTATTCACATGCACTCAATCCCAAAAAAAATCAAAAACATAATCACAATAAAGGGCAAACAAGTAAACTCAAATACTATTAAATCAAATCAATAATACATAACTAAAAAGGACTATTTGGTTTATAAAAAAAACTTGTAGGACTAAATGGACTAACATTTCTCCGAATAGAATTTATGAGTAATTTTTACTATTCTTATTATATTTTTCGCCAACATTAATCAATTAGGGAAGATTTGTAAAATTTATAATTTCTGTAACATATATTTTTTAATTTCTTTGATCTCAAAAAGGGCAATAATATATTTTTTAATTACATTTTCTGCCACGCGTTCATTCTCCAATTTTATTTTATTTTTTTTATAAATAATACTTTATGTACTAATTAATGTATTAACTGGTATATCAATTGATGATGTGACATAATTTAAGAGATTTTTAATATTTATAATTTGCATAATGAGTGTAGTCAATAATAATATCATAATTAGTGTCGATAGATATACTAATTAATATATTAATTGATATATATAATATCACCATTTTTTTATTGGTTGAAAGGTACGTTATTTCTCCAACATTCTTTCATGCATTCATGAGCCATTCCAAAACTAAAGTTATTCGCCCATTTGGTTTGAGAATTATGTTAGATGAGATTATTAATATATGATTTGTTAGTGATAAGATTGGTTAGCGAGGAAATTAAGAAAAATTATATATGTTTGTGATATATTTTAGTGAAGGAATTAGTTATATGAAATTTCATAAATATCCTTTTGATTTTTTGATATATCATATATATATATATATATGTTATTAAAAGTAGTATTTTTCTTTTATTTCGGTGGCAAAATCTAAAGACTCTTTTTAAAAAAAATCTACATCAGCATGGTTTTTTCATTTACAAATAAAGTTATACACAAACTCAATTTCAATTATAATAACCAATTTTATATGGAGTCTATTTGAGAAATACGCATTTTTCATAATTATATATAACCAATTTTAATTATTATGATATTTGAATTTTTTTTTATTTATTAAAAGTAGTGTTTTTATTTTGCTTAGGTGGCAAAATCTAACGACTTATTTTATTGGACGCATTACACTAATGGTCGTTTTAGTTAGTTTGGAACTTGTGTCATTTTGGTCATTGACATTTCAATTATGATACATTTGACCATAAATTTTAAATCTTATTCCAAATAAGGACAATTGAAGACATTATTGTTATATTTCAAGGGCAAAGCTGTCAATCTGATAAAATATAAACTAGTTTGACAAAAAAAATGTGAACAAACTATTTTTGAATTTTTAAAAATTATTTCTACTTACTAAAGATAAAATTATATAAAAATGATAAATCTTTTACATTTTTTTAAATTTTTTCATCAAATTAATTTTTAGTATGTATTTGGATGATGATCATGTAATGATTGATTGTTTTTGTTGATATTTTTTTACAGTTATTATATAATAGATATAATAAATGGTTGTATTTCTTGTTAATAGATATTTTTGGATGATTATCATATAATGAATGATTATTAGGCTTTTATGTGTAATCGATATGTTTAATTTATAAAATATTTTTAATTTTGAATTTTTTGATTTAATGGATTGATTTAATAATGACATCAAAATTATCGCCATATTTGATTTTTGAAAAAATAGAAATTAATTTAACTAAAATAAATATAAAAAAAAAGTTTATTTCTACCCTTCTAAAAGATAAAATTATATAAAAATGATTTTTTTGTAAATTTTTTTTAAAAGTCAAACATGACGATAATTTTAATGTGATGATTAAACCAATCCATTAAATCAAAAAATTCAAACTTAAAAATATTTCATATATTAAATATATCAATTACACATTAAAAGCCTAATAACTATTCATTACATGATAACCATTCAAAAATATCTGTTAACAACAAATACAATCATCTATTATATTATAACCATAAAAAAAATATTAACAAAAACAACCAACTATTAAATGATTATCATCCAAACACATACTAAAAATTAATTTGGTAAAAAAATATAAAAAATAAAAATGAAAAAGATTTATTGTTTTTATATAATTTTATCTTTCAATCTAGTTTTATATTTTATCAAATTGACAACTTTACCCTTGAAATGGAACAACAATATCTTCAAATGTCTTTATTTGAAATAATACTCAAAATTCAGGATTAAATGTATCATAATTGAAAAGTCAAGGACTAAAATGACACAAGTCTCAAACTACAGGGACTGTCAGTGTAATTCGCCCTACTTTTTTTTAAAAAAAAAATCTACATTAGCATGCCTTTTCCATTTACATATAAAGTTCTACACAAACTCAATTTATAATAACAAATTTTATATGGATTCTATTTGAGAAGTACTTGTTTTTCATATATATAATTATAATTTAATTATTATAATAACCAATTTTATATGAATTCTATTTGAGAAATACTTATTTTTTTTAAAAAAAACTATCTCGATATCTCACGTTGGGAAAAAAAGAAAAAAAGAAAGTTGTTTCATTTATATAAAATGAACATTTTACTCTTATTTAATGTTGTAGTGTTATGCATGTTTCAATTCACGATAGTTTAAATTTTAAAATTAAAATAATATTTAAAAATTTAGTTAATTAATTTTTGTATAAGTTGGTTGGTCTTTTAACTTAGCCGATTAGGCTGAACTATTTTCGGTTTAATTGATTTGTCTGTTTAACCACGATCTTAGCAATTTTATCAAAATACATTGGT